TTTTGTAGTCTCTAAGAATATTAAGAGACAGACCCAGTAGATAAATATAATGTCATTCATCAGACAAATATATAGAAGTAAAGTACAGGCCAGACACAGTGGCTCACACCTATAATTCTAGCACTTTGCAAGACCCAGGCAGGCATATCGCTTGAGCTTAGAAGCTCAAGACCAGCCTGGGAAACATGGTGAAACCCCATCTCTACAAAAAAAATCCAGAAAATTAGCTGGACGTGGTGGTGTGTGCCTTTCATCCCAGCTATATGGGAGGCTGAATTGGGATGATCACCTGAACCCAGGAGGTTGAGGCTGCAGTGAGCTGTGATCATGCCACTGCACTCTGGCCTGGGTGACAGAGTGAGACCCTGTCTCAAAAAAAAAAAAAAAAGCTGAAGTATGATGGATAATAAAAAGCTTTCTATTTGTGGTCTGTTTGTGGAGTCTTAGACAATTCTTTTCAAGAAATGAAGTATTTACTTTATTGCCTAGCTTTATAAATTCTGCAAGAATCCCATATAGATCTTACAAAGTATGTTTACTTTTGATTGACCAGAAATATGCCTCTAACCAATTGTTTTCAGAATTCTTAAAATGAAAAATATGCCAGAATGTTAAGTTATAACCAAGAAGAAAGTCATGTAAAATAACACAAAGTGATAGTGAAGAAATAGAAAATCAAAGACTGATACAAATAAATATATTTTTTAAATCATATTTTTATATTAATTTTTTTCATCCTTAGGAGTCTCCCATTTTTTTACAGATGAAGTGTGAATGTGTCAAAAAATACAAAACAAAAAAGAAAAACTAAACAATAACAATTTTTGCATAGGTTTCCCAAGAATTTAGAAATATTCATATTTTTGTAGTATTTGAAGGTTTATCTCTTTTAACCCTCACTACTACCCTGTGTGGAAGGCAGAGAAGATATTGCTGTCCTCTTTTTTTTTTTTCACATAAGGAACTTGAATTGCTCAGAGGATAAGTAACTTACAGGAAGTCACATTGTGAGTAAGTGGCAAGAACAGAATCCAGATTTTTTGGCGTATTGATTGCTAACATGTTGCAGTTTGATTGGCATCTCTTCTGTAGTTGTTTATATTGTTCATGAGCTTTTTGGTGGTGGTTGTTAACTTGGACCTCAAACTCCCACCTTCCCTCGATGAACTATCTCACAGCAACCCATTGCCACAGGAGGACCAGGTTAAGGCTGGGTGAAACTGATCAGTGCAGCGAGAGCTCAGCATCCACACAGCAGTTCCAAGCACCTGCCACTCCGGGGGTCCTTGTGCTGGGAACAGTTCGGCGATTTGTCTCAGTAGAGGTCTTTTTTGGGTGATAATAGGGTGTTTGTGTTCCGTTTACACTGAGAAGTGAATGTGCGACAGTGATTAGAATTATTGAGAAGACATAAAGAACCTCCAAATGATTCTTTAGAATTTCTTAGATACGTATCGAGGGCTTTATGGAAGTACTCAGATATCTGTGCATAAAGGGATAGGTTAAAGTAGTTCTTTACTATGGAAGAATTTGAAAAATTTGTTTTAATATTTAATTGTAATTTTTATTGATTTTCTATTCAGAACCAGGTTTTGCTTTTCAAATTTTTGAGGAGTCTTCTTGACCCAAGGTATGTTGATAAACTTTAGTCTTTCATTTTATATATATATATATGAGAAACAAAAGGAAATAAATTGAGATTAAGTTACCAGCCCATAGTATCTAAATAGTACAATTATCTCTTAATTTTTTAATATTAGTAGGAGCAACTGTTACACAGATAATGTGAAAATAGAAGATATGAACAATAGATTGTATCTTGAGATAATACTTTTCTTTCCATTTGAACATGAGCATATATGGTGAGTTCTCATGGGTGTAAATAAAATAATGAAGCCATGCCACGAGGACATGTTTCAGAAGAGTTAGCTTCCCCCTCCTGCCCTTGTTTCACTCTTGCCTAGTCCTAACTTCATGTGGGAGATTGATGGTGCCTGTACTTTCCAAAGTTAACACTTGGTTCCCAGCCTACCTCTAAATGTATTACCTTTTAAACTCTGACTTAATATGTTTAGTTTTAAACAACTTCCTGATGGTGTGGGAAGGAAAGTTGAAATGTGTTTTTTCACTGCTACTCTGATGCTTATATCAAATAAAAGCAAACTCAAGGAGATGATGAAATTAATTAATAATGGATTTGTAGGCAGAGCAGTTCTGCATATGAGGTTTTAAAGTTTTGCTGTAACTACATAGAGTACATTGGGAGTTGAGGACAGTAATATTTAATATCCTCTAAGATAGTTACTCTTGACCAGTAGTGTGCATCAGAATCACCTACGAAGCTTTTAAAAATTCAGATGTCTTGGCCCAACCCACGGAATCACTGGGAGCTGGACTATTTTGATGCACACCTAGAGTTAAGCATGGTTTACATGTATTTTTCCAAGATGACATAGCTTTCATATCAAACATGCAAACTTTAGGTTTCATTATAATGTATGCTGGCCATTAAAAACAACTGTTTACTTACTTTAGCAGTTGTAATATCAGTTTTGGTTATTTCTGTGTTCTGTGCTGTTTTAAAATACCAAAATACCAGTAATTTTGTTGATTGTAAAATTTTTTTGAAAGCTCAACCATTTGAATCTTGAATAGGCTGTGGTACATTTAAATTTAGTCAAACAAATGTGTATGTGTAGATGTTTACTAAAAGCAGACTGATTACAACCCCCCCCTACTTGTGTTCAACACTTTTTCAAAGTATCTGTGTTTTAATTCTCTGTCCTCAGATTATTACTGAGGCTAGACATCCTTTTTTTTAAAAAATTCCTATTAATCATGTGTATTTCCCTCAGAGTCAGTTTGGGCCCTTTTCTACTCCCAGAATTAACTGATGGAAAGATTTTAGAATTGGAGCTGGGAGTGGAAGGGAAGGAAGGAACGTGGGAAGAGGTGGGGAGAGCTGGGAAGGGGAGACATGAAAGTAGGGCAGAGCACGGAGCTCAGAGGAGGAGGAAGGAAACGCCAGTCCCACTTCTCAGTCCTTTCTCTAGAGCCTGAGAGCCTGTCCACCTCTTTTTCTGTGACACAATTCCCTCTTTTCCTCCCCCATACTTTTCCCTGTGTTAGATCCATTCACTGCTCTGCCCTTAGGTTAATTTATTTTAATCAAGTCCTTTTCCTCTGCCATCCTACCTGGAGAGACTCAAGCAGGAAGGACAGGGGAAGGTCAGCTTTGAACTTGGCATTTTCTCAAATGAAGCGTGGAAAGTGATAGTGACCAAATATTTTTTTTTTTTATTAAAGAAAAAAAAAAACAGGGCCGGGCACGGTGGCTCAAGCCTGTAATCCCAGCACTTTGGGAGGCCGAGACGGGCGGATCATGAGGTCAGGAGATCGAGACCATCCTGGCTAACACAGTGAAACCCCGTCTCTACTAAAAAATACAAAAAACTAGCCGGGCAAGGTGGCGGGCGCCTGTAGTCCCAGCTACTCGGGAGGCTGAGGCAGGAGAATGGTGTAAACCCGGGAGGTGGAGCTTGCAGTGAGCTGAGATCCGGCCACTGCACTCCAGCCTGGGCGACAGAGCGAGACTCCGTCTCAAAAAAAAAAAAAAAAAAAACTGTATTAGGTAATGTAAATATCTGTGTCAAAGATCTAGTGTTCTGCTTTGAGAATCCCAGTTCTTAAATTCATCATATTTTATCCTCTTACTTTATGTCTTATATAGGCGGCAGGCACTGATGTAGATTATGCTCTAAACTTTTTGAATTTGATGTTTGGCATTTCAATCCTTTTTTAATAAAAAGCAAATACAAATAATATACCTGCTTTGGTATTGCAGTCACTATTTAAAATAAATAGTACAAAAAAAAGACATATCACAAGTATCAAAGGTGGACAGTCTTGCTCCATTGTTACCTATATCTAGATTTGAAAGATGTTAGTTAGGTAAGACCCTTTACGAGTGCTGTGAAAGTTGTTTTGTTCACCAGTAAACCGCAAATTATTTTACTTGAGAAACAGGTATATTTTATTTCCCTAAGCTAACCGTAACCAGGATAATTACCTCTCACACATTATTCCTTTCCTGTCATATCAATTCAGGCGCAAGGTCTTGTGTTACCAACCTTGAAAAGAGGCAGTGCGCTCACAGGCCTTCCTTTCCCCTTCCCCAAAAAGTGACATGACCAGGAATGATCTCACTCTCACAGCCAAATTTCTAGCTTTACTTTTGCCTACCAGAAATTAAGAGCCTTGAAGTAACCAGCTTACCTTAGCTCTGCCTTTAAAAAGAGCTCACTTTTGTATTGATCTGCCTCCAAAATATCAAAGACCAAGTGTTCTGCTTTGAGAGCCCCAATTCTTGGATTCATCATATTTTATCCTCTTACTTTATGTCTTCCATAGGAGGCAGACATTGATTTACATTATGCTCTCAACTTATTTTTGAATTTGATGTTTGGCATTTCAATCATTTTTATATAAAGAACATTTTAAATGATGGTATCTCAAGCTAACCCATACAAGCCTCTTTAACCCACAATGTAAATAAACATATAATACTAGTAACATATTGAGTTCTGGATTGAGGGAGAGAAAGTAGGTTAAGAAGGTTGAGTGCCGAGGGAGTAAGGAAAAAAGAAGAAGTTCTCCCTTTCTTGCTTTGAGAGCGGTTCTTAAACAAAGTTTTGATTTGTATAAAGTTTGTTTTTGGTATCCTTTGAACCCTACCTCCACCCCATTCTGTTCCCTTCTTTCCAGGGGTGCAGGGTACACACACTTCTTCAAGCTCTTTGCATTATAAACACACTCAGGTATAGAGTGTTCTTTATAGATGTAAAAAATCCAAATTACCTTCCTCCATTTCCCCATCAAAACTGTTTTCTAGTTGCTTTGTCAATTTCTGTATTGTATGGCCCCTTTTACAATGAGGAATATATAAATAACATGAATATAATGAAGCATATAAAAGATGGGGAAAAAACTCAACACCTTTTCCTAATACAGTTGACCTCAAGGGTAAGAAGAAAGCAGAGTGCACAGATTGGTTTATATTAGTCTCTGATTGACTAACTTCTCATTACGTTTTAGCCTGTTTTTTAGTGACTGTGCTTGTTAACTAACCTAAAGGATTAGACTCTTTTCAGGTACTGGGAAAACTGAGGGAGTATGGAATATGGATATAGGGTCAAAACAACATCGAGAATAGGTAGACTGGCCCCGGCTAGCAGTTTACCTGACAGCCAAACGTGAATTATTTTTGCCTTTGTTTCTTCTCTTTTTGTTATTTTTAAGCAATAGATATTTTTAACCTCCAGTTTTTTTCCCCCATGAAACTCCTAAAGCAGCATTAGGAAAGAAAACAGTTACTTTGGGATGAGGACTGCTGGTGTGTATGTATCATCTCAGAGTGTTGCTTTTTTTGCTCTTGCCCCCAACACCTGAGTTAATAGGATTCTTATTCTTGTATGTATAGTTTATGCATATTTAATTTAACATTTACATGTATGGCCAGGCGTGCTAGCTCATGCCTGTAATCCCCGCACTTTGGGAGGCCGAGGCAGGCGGATCACCTGAGGTCAGGAGTTCAAGACCCACCTGGCCGACATGGTGAAACCCCATCTCTACTAAAAATACACACACGTGCACACACACACAAACATTTACGTGTATCAGGTTGTTTTTTGAGGGAGTAGCTTTTATTTTGTCAACAGCATTATTAAAAGAATAGGTCATCCAGTTGAATTCGTGTGTATATTTCTATTATCTTTGTTATGTAAATAGTTTCCTCAGTCGAATTAATTGACCTGCAAGGATATTGGTGGCATCTGTACATATAAAGATTAGATAGTTTTAGGGGGAGAGGGGGTTAATCCTCCAGAAGCAAATTACTTGCCTGAATTAAGGCCAACAGCTTGGGAGAGAGGATTTGCATCCTCTTCCAATTATTTCTTTTGGGACAGCTGCTACATAAAGCTCCACTCTACCCCCACCCCCTGGGTGCATTCCTGCTGGCCATGAATTCTCACAGGAGTTCTCCTGATGTGCTTACACCCAGCTGCAGGTTCCTTATGCAGTGGGGATTGCTTAAAGGATAATACAAAAGGACATGTGTTTTTGTGAGGCCGTGAGCTGCATAAGGAATAAAGAGAATGTGCAAGTATATTTATATTCTGAATATTTTCCTCAGTATGATTTTCCTGGTAATGTTGACTTAGCCTTTGTTAACAATGTTCTGAAGGCCTCTGAAACATATAGCATGATTTTCCTGAAGGAAAAAAACACATGTGTCACATTGTATCTGAAAGTCTTTAATCAAAGTAAAATAAAAATTGAACATTGTTAAGAAAATGAGTAACTTTGCCCAGGAGCAAAATATAGATTATGAAAATGGTTATGCATTGGATTTTAGCTGAATCTGTCAGTGTTTCTGTGGATATTTTTGAAGGGACATTTTAAGATATTGACACTCAGTATTGAAATAGCGTATTTCAAAGTTAAAATACAAAATTAGAAGATTATATATATTAGAAGATTATATATGTTCATGAACTTTGACATGTTAAAAAAAAAAATACCTACTTCAGTGAGTGCCTACAGTGGCCAAGGTGATTGTTAATTTGGCCT